TCAGCACAAGCGGCACAACCCTCGACGGATACAAGCAAATTTACCGAAGTAGCGATAACATTACATGATTATTCGTGCAACGATAGCAAAGGAGAGACTTAAGATTTTAAAAACTTAGTTGGCGAGATATTTTTTTAAAGCTTCATTGCAAGATCTCCCGTCACGCGCTGGCGCTGCTAAAGAAAAAGCACCTGCCATTCCTCGATCACAAAATCTCAAGGAATGTACTAGGTACTACTTGCGGTTCCATGGCGTCCCCATGCGCGCACTTCATATACCGACACATCGACACAAAAAATTTATCGATGAAAGCGGATGTGCAAATCAATGGCATATGTGTAATCTCGACGACGTTAGCATCCCCGATGCAGATGTTTCTAGTATTCTGCCTCCTTTCCGCATTCTGTGAACAAATTCTCTCTATCGGCCATACTGTACAACGACAAAGCACCATACGTCAGGATCGAGATTACTGAGCGTAATAGTTGTAGTAAAAACGTAGTCAATGCCACAGGCCTCGTCACGACCGGCGCCGATGTCAGTCTCGTGCTGTGATTGAACTAGTTCGGGCCGACGATGCGTTCATCACCATGAAAACATCCCAGATGCCGTCACAGCTCACACTCTGTAACGAAACCCCATAGTTTCGTGGCCCTCGACACAGCACACAGCTGCAGTGTGGTCAGCTTTTTCAGACCGTAACTTCTCCGATGATGCCTCAGGTAAAAAAATCCACAGCGATCAGCTTCCTTCTGCATCACATAAGAAGCCTTTTCTCTTCAACCTAGGACACTAAATTCAATATAAAGCCGTGGGTGCATTTCACTTACCCAAAATTAACTATACTTGAATTGGCGTGGCCCTAAAAATGTTACACGATCATTACTTATCAGCTCATCCTACAATACTCGAATTGACGTGGCCAGGCTGCAACACAATTGTTGTCATATAACATGAAGCTAATGGATAGGTGCTGGTGTTTTTGAGCAATGATGCCCGGTGTATTTAGCCTGTCCCATATAACAATTTGACAAATTCAGTATAATTTTATTATTAATATTGATATAGAAAGGAATCATATAAAAGCTGCCTTCGAATTCCTTTTTTTATAAAATTGGACCTAAATTCTTATCATTACCTGAGGCAAAGCTAGAATTCGCCAAAAAAATCTACGTTGATTATTTACCTGTTTGGTTCGTAACGTTTCAGAACACAACACAACGTGTAATCGTTCGTTCTCGCTTGTTCCGAGTTGGTTGGATTGCGTCACTACGTACCATTCCATGGTGTGCACGGATTAGATTGATCATACATCCCCTCTTTTAAATCTTGTGATTAATATTACGTAATAAACTCTGAAAACTGGACCAATGTTCGTAAACATTGTAACCTGAGCTGATATTTTGGCTTCAGTGCACGTCCTTTATAATCTTTACAAAGGATACTTAGCGAAAAGAATGATATTTTTAAATCAACTTCGATTCCGTCACATTGTAGCCATGCAGAAACCTCGTAATGTAATATGACATATAATTTACCTTATCCCTCCTTGAACATGGCCAATGCATCTAAATCAGTGGACTGCTCATCATCCATACTTTGCCGTACATTATCCGAATCTTGTATCCATTCAAATGTATGTCAGAACGTCATGATCAAAGCAACATTCACATACTTTGTGTTGCCGTAGTCTCCTTTATTAAGTATTTGATTCTTTTTTGCATACGTAAGTAGCTTTACTTTCAATAAACCAGACAATTATGACATGGCAAGTGAACATGCTGCATAACTGATGCAGCGGTATATGTCTAGACCTGGATAGAATTGCATGTAATGTTAATAAATAGGTCGTAGGATGAGAATGGGTTGCATATCGCTTCGTTGGTTCGCACAGTAATGAAAAGCACTGATGGAAGGAGTAGTAGTAATGACACGGAACGATTAGATAAGGAATTCATACTTACGCAAAAACACATTGTTCCTTCACAACATCTCTCTTTTCCTCGGTTTACATATGACCGTTCTGCTTCATCCATGACTACTTCAATGGATGTATAGACTTTCAGTGTCAGCTTTAGCGCTGATTGAGTATCATTCATATTTGCAACATGTGAAACAACTTGACGCATCTATTTTGTAGGTCATCAGCTTGTACACACTATATATATATATACTTTGTATATTAAATTATCGTGTTTACTAATGCTCCCATTACCTTTGCACACATCGATGTATTTTTTTTACTTTTGCAATACGATACACATAATGGTACATCAGGCCTGAACCTATCTTAACTCGATTATTTATTAAATCCATTTTATGACCTGTAAGACTTAACCAAAGGGCCGTACACCGCCTGGTAACCGACATGTTTTTACTTTATTCGCTCACTGCTCTGTCGAATCACCCTGTTTGGCTTTTCCGCGATACTTGTAGCGGATTTGTAACAGCCCATTTTCCAGGTAAAGGATTTTAGATCAGCGAGCTACTTTGGTGGAGCGGGGTGCACAAATTTGCTGATGTGCTCTCGCCTATCCACTGGCGCCCAGACGACCGACTATCAGAGGGATAACTTCGTTTCCGTGTGTTCTGCTTTTCCCTCACTTTGTGCACCCGTCGGTTGGGACGTTTGTACTCTTCTCAGTACTTTTGTCGATGCTAAACTTGACCGGGCTGGGACGGGAAGGATCGTATGGAAATCTTTACGCGATCACAGCTTACTTGTTCGTACTCGGTATGACCTACCTGGATCTCAGCGAGACAGTCTTGTCTAATACGTAGACCTTTCTCATCATGACCTTCTGACCGCTTGAGCCGTCTCGCGATCTTGATCACCCTTGCTATATTGCTGCGCCCTATCGCCGTTGTCTTGATGTTTGTAAGAGTCCTGAACGCACCTAGCCAAATAATCCAGGAGCGGCACGTGTTTAGACGAACGGCGAAGCTCTTTGTTTCGTCGGTGGGCCAAATACCCAGCCCGGAAGGGATGACACGTGGCTTTTGAAGTAATTGATCTCTTTTTAATCTTAGCCATTAATCAAGGTGCCTACGACCTAGTCTATCTACGCCGTAGGCACTTGCCACGCGTCTTCCAATAAATCCTTCTATCTTTTTTATGCCGCAGGCTCCCAATTTATCCCCTACCACTGACTCAGTTCAGGATCTGATCTGGTATCGGATCCCCTATTGAATCGGATCTACTCTCGGATCCCATCCCCTCTTGATTAGGGTTTCCTTCCAGATCGGATCCGGTAGTCGTGATTCACCCATCCGCACTTCGTACCTAGATCGGGTGGCACGGTAACCCTTTTTCCGTACCTACCTCACATCATTCTTCGATCCACTGCTCCACACTACTTTGTTCCTCACAAGAACACGCCCAACGAGTCTTCTTTGCTCACTTAGTTTCTAGTCATGATTCAGGGGACTAGTGCGATCCAGGGAACAAACAGCACCAAGTGTTGACGGTTACATGTCTTAACAAGGCTTCTTACTCTAGTAATCTAAGTCGCCCAAAGAGGCACGTGTCTTATACAGGTCAAAATGCAAAATGGTTGTCTGCTCAATTTTGGACGCTAGGATGGAATCCTAAAACGTAACATTGGTGGCTGATGCAACACTGATAAAATGAGTGATAGATCACAGTATACACGTACCTAGCCCATGGATTTGCAACTCATAGTGTACTACCGTTACCATACTGATCTACCATATTGTTTAAAAAAACAGTAGTTTGGTGATAATTCAAAGATTTTGCAAAACTAACTCCGACATCTTGTTTTACAATATCTGGTTGATAAAGGGTTCGACCATATCGTTTTAGTATTGTGCAATTACAAGTTCCGTGATACGTAAGTTAGCTACTTGTTAGACGAAAAATATGAGGTTGTGGCTAGGCCACCAGCATGATGGAATCAAAGCGCCTATTATCCAGGGTCGCTCGATGTAATTGGTTATAAGGTGAGTAATATGCGGTATGAATGAGCTATTTTATCATGTGTATTACGTGCTTGGCAATTATACTTACACCAGCATGCTCCGAGAATCGCCGTCTGCTGTATCGCCATCTGCAGTATCGCCGTCTACACCATCATCGTTTGTCTTCCAGTCTTAATTCGAATACGCATAAACATTGCTCAAATAATGTTCCATTTTGTTGACTATTCCGTGGCACCATAACGTATACAGCAAACACGTTCGCATGCGAGTCGCCGCTTGCCAATGCGTAGTTTGCACAAATCACGAATACGATGTATGGCTATGCTCGCGTTGTGTGCCAAACAAACACGATCAGCGACCGATTTGGACGCGACTGCATAAAGCCTTATTTATCATTTTTTGTGGCTGTTTACATTTTCGTAAGCTACGGACATGATGCACATGAGCTATCTAGGATATACATGTGCCTGTTCACCCGCTTGGCAACACCGTATGTTACCTTGTCTTTTAGAAACGAGGCATTCGTTAAGCTTGCCGTGATCGATCGAAATGTCAATATGAATGAGGCGGCTCCCAGCTCTTTCATCGTGGGAATGCACGTTTAGCATATCGTGGATGACTAGTATTCGCTAGTCGTTCGTTTAAGCTGCGATAGATCATGTTGTCAACGCAGACGCATAGGTGTACTGCTGATTAGTGTGTCGACAGACGGACTATCACGACAAGGTTGAACATAGAGAGGACGCGCTCGTTTTAAGTCTTTCTTAACGCTCCCTATTGCGTCAGGCAAGTAACCCCCCCCCCCACACACACATACACACAACACACACAAACAAATTGCTCTAAACGACGCAGTATACACCTTACGATTGACCTCCTCCCCCTCAAATGGGCAAAATTGATTTGCCTATAAAATATCACCGCACCTTTACCCAATCCTCTCGTTTTCGCGCTCTTCAGATCACTATCCAATCCTTCAGCTTCGCGCCAAAGTGCTCCCCCCCACACCCACACATACACATACACATACAAACACAACCCCCACCCGTCACGCGCAACTCATGGAGACTCTACTGCAGAACGAACTGATGCTCACGAGTTTCGACGTCGTGCCAACGCCACAAGCGCTGTCCGGCAAAAAGGTCATTGGCCTCTACTTCAGTGGCCACTACTGCCCGCCGTGCCGCAGGTTCACGCCGCTGCTGGACGGTGTGTACTCGAAGATCAAGGCCGCTGGTCACGAGGACGTGGAGATTGTCTTTGTGTCGTCCGACAGAGACGAAGCCACGTTCAGCGAGTACTTCCGAGAGATGCCGTGGATCGCTCTGCCCTACGCGCGCCGGGACCTCAAGCTCGAGCTGTGTGACAAGTTTGGCGTCAAGACCGTACCGACGCTCATTTTTTGCAACGAACACGGCGACGTCGTGGAGCGCGAGGGCCGCGACTTTGTCACAAAGCACGCGGACGACATCGCGGCCATTCTTTCTCACCTACGTCAGGCGAAAACGAGCTAAAGCGGAGTCGGCTGTGTCGTTCCAACTGGCCTTCTCTCGTGAGGCTTGCGCTGCCCACGAGGCCGTGTGGCATCTACCCACCTACCTACGTACGACGTACCTTTCCTGTTGCAATCAACGTTGACGAATACATGTGTCACGCTCTCGCTTCAGTGAAAACACTCGAGTGTTTCTCTATTACAAACCGATATTCACAATACGTTCAAGCGGCTGAAAGTCGCGATCGAAACGTTTTACGTGAGGCTGAGACACACGCGCCGCGCGGGCCTACCGAGGGAAAACTGTCACGAGCCCTTCTCAACGTTCTCATAATAACGTGTATCTTCATCTGGAGACATGGAGATCTCGAGATGCGGATGCTGCTGATGCTGAATGACGAATGCCACCGTCGCTCGTCGGCCTTGCGGCTCAACACTCGAGCATTAACATCTGCGGGAACGACAAACACTACAGTTTGCAACTCCTTGTCGTGGACGGATACGAGCGCGGCCGCTGGAACATGAGGAGAAGCGGCTTAGGACCCTTTTGCAACAGCTTCATTGCTGCGCCAAAGCCCATCTTGCTAATGTTGTTGTTGTTGATGCTCAGCAAGACATCGCCGATTTCCACACGGTTCTTTTGCGACTCGCGCGTGACAGCACCCTCGCTTTTCACGTTTATCACACGCGGGTAATAGCTCGTGCTCTCCTGCTTGACGACGATGCCCAATGGACCGTCCTCCTCTTTCCACGTGATGTAATACAGCGAATGATCATTCTTCGGGTTCATGCTCACGCGGCATGACTGTGTCATGCGTGACATCCCCAATACGTTGGAATCGTCCTGCGGATTTGGTGCAACAGAACTTTCCAGTAGATGCGGTTGGTCATGCTGCTGGCTCGGGTCTTCCACGAGGTCAGTGTGGCGGAAGCGCAACACTGCTGGTCGAGGTCCACTTTCCAGTATGTCAATGACCTTTTGAAAGCGCACACCCTGCGTCGAAAATTCGTTAATGAACACCAAGTGATCGCCCCCTCGCACATTGAACATGCCCGGCAAAAGCTGATTGCCTTGTGACTGAAGCACGCACGGGTAGCCAGTACTTGGATCCGGGCGAAACCCAAGACCAAGCGGCACGCCTTCCTTCCACAGCACCTCGTAATCCTCTTCACCCAATAGTTCAAGCGAGCCTGATCGCAGGCGAAACGATTCTGTCGGGCTGCGAAGAAAGTGCAAGCGCACCGGCTTTTGCACTTCTTGCAGCAGCGTCAAAATGCGACGAATGTCGCCTTTCTTGACTCGCACCTTACCGACAGCGAGAAGAACGTCACCACGAGAAACCTCAAATATATCTGCGCAATTGCTCAAGCTTTCGTGGACACGGCGTACAATGGGCATACCGGATAGCGGATCGCTCTCGAAGTACAGACCGAGCAAACCGCACTCCCACACAATCTTGTACTCGTTCTGTACATGCTTCGGCGGCTCGTACTCATCCATCATCTTCTTTCTCGATGCACGGGAACTGCTTCGAACGCTGACACTCCCGTCATTGTCCGAATTGTCGCTTGTACACGCTGAGCTCTGAAACGAAATCGTAGTGTTCTTTCGGTCCTTCATATCAACTGACTCCGAAAAAGATATTGAGCTCGCTGTGGTACTTCGCTCGTCCAGTGAACCCACGTAAGAAACGTCATGCTCAAAGCTCAACGTGTTGGCAGTATACTCTCGCCGAACCAGCCATCCGCGTACAAACGACTGAATTGCAATAGCCGCTTGCATACGCCTTACCATCCTCCTCGCCATATAGCCACGAATTGCGCTTTGCACTTTAACTACAGCACGTCGACGACGGATCACGCGCTGATATCGGCGCCAGCAAAACCAAGAGCGCCAGATTGCCTGAATTCGAACGCATGATCGGCGCTTCCGCCGATAACCAGAGCGCACACTGTAGCCGAGACAATATCGCTGTAACGTAATGATGGACTTGTACAATGCCTTCGACCGGGCTGCTTCCAAAGCTTGATGAGCCTCAAGGATGCAAAACACTTTAGTCTTACCCACCTGAAATGGAGGATGCTTTTTGTCCGTCTCAACACGAAGTATTGTCCTCAACTTGTCCACCATGTGCATGGCCACCTCTTTCTCCAGCTGCCCCTGCGCATTTGGCAGTCGAGACAATATGCAGCTATACGTTTTGATAAATACATCGTGAGAGAAACGCACCGAGTAGCCGCTACGAGAAATCTTTACTGCTTCCAGAACACCACTGCAGCGTAGCTGCTCCAATAAACGCCTTCGCTCAAACTGTGACGCGCTTGCCTGGTCGTTGGGCTTTATACAACGGATAAAATGAGGCTCCGTTGCATTCAAGACTTCCAAGAGCGAGCTCAACTGACTCTTGAACTGTGCCACGACCGTGGGAGATAAAATACCACCCGACCGGCGACGATTGCCGTCGCTATTGCGGGGCTCTGTCCGACCGTTCTTCGGACTAGAGCTGCAATTACTAGCGCTGCTCTCGAAGCAAGCACGCACAAAAGCAAACTTTGACGTGCGTAGCAAATCCGTTGCTTCTGTATGCATGTGGTCTTTATTCTTGTCGCAAAAGCCGTCCGTCATGTAGCAGACACTTCCTGCATAATGGCGAATCACGAACTGGCCCTTTGCGCGCTGGAGTCGGGTCACTGAGAAGCTCTCGTGCTTATCCGCAAGGCACTCGTAGTATTTGTTAGCCAGCTTCTCGTCATTTCCGCGTGGAATCAGACACTGCTCGTCGAGGAGAGAGAAAATGCCCATGTGACGCTTTTCCACTAGCGCCACGCAAACATCGTTGTTTGGATAGTCCACAAACGTCCAGGGGATTTCCTCTGCCACGTACTGATCTTGCTCCATACGAAACACGAACCTGCCAAAAAGCTGCTGCAGCTTTTCGTTAGCATAATTAATGCACAACTGTTCCAGACGATTTCGCTCGAAAATCTCGAAACCAAAGATGTCCACGACTCCGATAAACTGACTGCGACCCGCTTCTTCCTTGTACTCGATGCTACGGTTGATGCGACCCACAAGCCAATTAAATAGATTCGAATAAAGCGTCTTCACCACCGAGTCTCGAGTCGACAGCGCCTGCGCAACTGGAAGACGTGTCGTGATAAACTCGGCGCCAGCTTTGATTTGCTTTGTACACAACGTACTTCGTAATAAGTTCTCTTCTACACCAAGAAGCGAGCAAATGGCTTGAATGTTGTCGCCACATTCATCCATGTCCACAGCGGACGCATCATCCTTTCCACCGTTACGCGAGGCCGTTGTAAAACGCACATTACCCAAGTGCAATACGGCAGAGACAATCTTCATCACACTGAGCTGCTCATCAGGACTCATGCCAAGACTCGACATGGCTCGCCGAGTTACAAGATACGAATCGGCGTCGTTTACGCCGTCCAGGCGCTCGAAGCACTCAGACTGATTTAAATACGCGTAAGTGTCGACGTCCTGCAAGGCCAATTGTTGGCGCTCGGAAGCGGAGCTGCCACCACACATCTCGTAGAAGATGTGGTAATTTCGCTCGCCTTTGCCCTGAGATACGAGGCGTACACGCTCCAATAGGTACGTGGAGATAGATGCACCCAGCATCTCACCGGACGATGTAAACCCCAGCTTAATGAACTTGCCGAACCGACTCGAGTTGTTATTCCTCGTCGTTCTGGCATTGCCGAACGCCTCTAGTATCGGATTCGACTCCAACACTCGGTCGTGAATCGTCGTTTGGTCGCAATTGGCTGGCCGCTCAGAGCGACGAGTGCGTTTTGTTGATACGTATGCTAAGTAATTCATAATGAGCTTCGTAGTTTCTGTCTTTCCAGCACCACTTTCGCCACTCACAAGAATTGTCTGGTCCGTCTTCTTGTCGCTAGATTGCGGCACGAGCATAGTGCGGAACGCCTGGTCGGCCACAGAATACACGTGCGGCGCCAAGAAGCTCTTATCCGCTTCAGCATCGCCCCCTAGATTATAGTACTGGTCCTTAATGTCGTCCGAGTACAATGCCAATCGTCTGAATGGATTCATAGCAACGAGAATCTGCCCAGTGCTGGTATAAATCTCTCCATGCAGGAACCGGCACTTCAGTACCTGTAGAATAGCCGGCTCATGCAAGTGCACGAGCTTCGTCAGGTCCTGTACTGCATGGTAGCACTCTCCCTGACTGCGCGGTAGCACCAATTCCGCCGACACAGCCACGGTCTGACGCGTGCCATCCGTCACCTCCTGAGCTTCTCCCAGGTCCAGGACTGCATCATCGCCCTTGGCCGTCAGAGCCCCTTTGTTTATCGTGACTGCAGGCTCCAACGTGCACTCCACAAGACCAGAACGCGCGTCCACAGGCGCTACGACAATCGCTTCGTGCCACAATTCACGGTCAAACACCCACACGGACGTGCCAGCATCCATCGCTGCTGTGCGTCGTCCAAATGTAGCTGCAAACACCAGAGCAGGCCGTTACTTTCCCGGCTCTTGTCGACGTAAACGACGGTGGCCGTGCGCTTGAGCTCCAGTACGGGAGAGAGGCGCGAGGCACAGCGAGAGATCGAGAGCGAGAGAGCCTACCGACCGACCGGCCAAACGTCCAGAACTCACGAGGGCGCGGGCGGAGACGTCGCGTTGCGTCGTGGGTGACTGGGCAGTAAGTAGTTCGGTATACGAGCCAGCAGCAGCGTGCAGGGGTGGGGGCGTGGCCTGCCGAGTGTGCAATTCAACGACATGGGTCGAGGAGCCCGACCGAGGGGGCAGAGCCCTAGCCCTGTACATTTTAGCAAATGAGATGACGTCAAGTAGTTTACAGCGACCGCCAGCCGGTATAGCCGGCAACTGTTGGAAGACCAGCGACAGTGGCTCGTTTGCTATTCTTAAGTAGAGAGCAGGCGAGAGAGAAAGGAAGAGGGTCAGACAGACGTCAGACAGGCTGGCGAACCTCGTGCTGCGTTGGCGGCACCGATTTCGTCGGTCGTTTCGTCTCGATTCGCGGCGTCCCGACTGCTCTATCCAGCAACAACAATACATGTGCACAATGTCCTCGTCTGCTATAGTCGATACGACAGCACGACGATGGAGCCCCTGTTGGGCCCGGGCGCTGGCTGGCTGGCGTGTCGTTCGTAGCGTGTACATGACGCTCCCTTTTTTGTCGAGTGCGGTCTCGATGGCAATGATCAGACGTCCACTGCTGATCGTGCAGCTGCGGTCCGTGACGGTAGCGCCACGCACTTTGGCGCGCATCATTAGCCGCTTGCAATCGTCCTCGAACGACGACGGGAAACGGCCACCGTTGTCCGAGCTGCTTTTTTCGAAATGAGACGGAAGAAAGGAACGCGCTGCCTCGTGCTGATGTCGTCAAGAGCTTGGAGTTGCCACTCCTGTATCACCCCAACTATCGCCCGGACGTGCAAAACGATCGAAACTGCTTCGTTGTGTTGTAAGGCTATCGAACTGGATGGCTACACAGTAGTGCTCTTGTCGAACATGACGAGGCCGTATCATCTGTTGTGTGGAACCTACTGGGCATCCGATGGATCCTTCCGATTGGTCTTCCACGGCGCCGCAGTTTGGCGTAGTTGGCACTAGTCGTTCGTGAGCCTATCCCGTTTCAGTAGTACTATCGACTTGTCCGTCACGTCCGACTACTCCTTTGCGCAGTATGCACCGTGACATATGAAGATCGTGCGCCTTCAACCCCCGTATCTATCCTTTTGATCGACACGCTGATCGACATGATTAGAGCGTCACATTTGATCAACACCTCAGTAACATCAAGAATCGAATGTCGACAAAGACAACACGTGGTGCGCAAAGGTCTTACGTTGCGATTGATGATGACAAGTGTGTCCGAGCGTAGTTTTGGAGGACACCCGCCGCTACAGTCGTACACAGTCGTGCCCTCACACTACTCATTTGAATGTGCTAAGGAATGATAATCGCCCAGACGAGCTTGTTCCCGTAGCGGCTGGATCAAAGTCGAAGAAGGCCTAGTGTCATGTGTGCTGCAAAGCCGACGCGAAGCAGAACGCTCGCGTGAAGTACATGGAGAGCGTATCTGCTGGCGCGGACAATGCCGATCTTCAATCGACTCTCGATAGACGCGTGGTGAAGGTCGGACACGTAGGACAGCGCAACATCATCACTCCATCTTGTGCGTCGAGCAGTAGATCGATCGTATTTTCTTGAGCGGTGCAAACGAGACTGCATTGCTATTGCGCTCAGGAAGTGTGCTAGTAAGGTAGCGCTACACAAAGGCTGTCCAGTGTCTCCTAGACGACCATTTTTCATGCTACCCCGAATACGGACCGCGCATACGTGTGACCTCACACCTACAACGACAAGATTGGAAAGTGCACATCTACTATCCATGGCCAAGATTTGTATGCACCGCGCGTATATCATCTTCGGGCTGCTGTAGCGGCAGGTTTCTTGCGGTCGCCTACCTCCAGCAGTGGCAATGTGAGCCACTTACCTTATGGTCCGGACCGTGCAACTGCGCCAAGGCATTTTGCTGCGAAACTGCTGAGACAAACGTCACGATGGCGTAAGGTTCTGTCTCGTGAACTAGCGGTATTTTTTAAAGATCAGTGGTGGCGGCCATGCCGACGACAATCTTTCCACTACGTGTGGATTATAGCTGAGCGATACCACATCAAAACACGGAAGACAGCGTCCGGCGGTGCAATTCGTTGTGGGAAAAGTGTCAAGACACATGCCGGGCGTGCCGCGCGATGCATTGTCTACAAACACAAACATCCGTTCGCGATCCCAGACCGAATGTGTCCGGTGTCTCGTCGTTGTTGCTGAGGTCTCGGATGGCAGCGTGGAGTTACCAGCTTGCGCTCGATATCGTCATTTGCAGCGAGAGAGACATGCACACCGGCTCGATAGCACTTAATGACAAGCAACACTTGGCCGCTGCAACAGGCGGAAAAGCCCGCGCACTCCACACACAGACGGACAAGACGGACAAGATAAACGAGGTTGATAGCGCGTAGAAAGCTGTGACGAACGTGTCTGGACAGCTCTGCATCCATGCGCAATCGATGCGGATGTCACTCGTGAGGTGAACTCGGGCATCTACCGGCGTAAATAGTCAGACCTGAGCGTATATGGTCGAGCTGATGGCGAGCGGTGTACTTTGTTTGAATTCGTTGGACAAATGACTGTGCGTGTCCGATCAATTCTCGTCGATCAACAAACAAGTCATAGCTCATGTACACTTGGCATCACTCCATGACCGTACACTGCAAATTCGATGATTCAGACCAATGTTGGCTGCTTCACAAAAACGTCTGTTCGGCACCAGCAGACTCGGAAGTTGTCGATAGTCTTGAACACCAACAGGAAACACGTGCATTCTCTGAAATTAACACCTTACCCGGTGCAAGATACTCTCGCTACGCTTGGCTTTGTTTCCTTGCAAACGCTACTCAAAAAAGATGATCGCCGCTGTGCGTATTTCGCCGCAGCCATCGCTACTACCACTTGTCTTCTCCCACTCGTCCTTCGTCTGCAGTTGCCGAGGCATGTCATAGCGAAAGGCTGCGGTAAACCGACTTAACAGTAGTACCAGCTGCCAAACGGACGACGGAAGTGGCAGCCCGAGCCGTAGATCGACTGTCCAAACGACTTCCAGTAAGTGATCGGATAGCGCCAGCCGTATCGGAAGCCTCCCGCGAACGGATACGTGTAGCGCCAACGGTACGTGATTCCTCCCGTTGGGATAAAGCCGCCGCCACCGCCACCGCCGCCACCGCCAACAAACTGCTCAAACTGCTCCTTGTTCGTCGGCACGGGCTCCTTGTCTTCGAAGACAGTCACACCGGGCGGCGTCTCCTCCGTTTTGGCATCCTCGACCGCTGGAACCGCAGGGGTATCGTCCGCAAGTGCGCAACTTAGCACAGCGCCCAGGACCACTAGAAGAAGGACGGCAAAGCGTTTAGCCATGATAGTTGAATCGCACGAGGGCTGGATGGAGTGTTGACTGTAGCGCAGAAAGCCGAATGAGCATGGAGGATGACTCCGCATATGTGAACGCGAGGCACGATAAGGCAGTTGGAGAAAACGGTGCAATCGGTTCAAGACGCTGACCGCTCGTCCCAGGTAGATGGGGCCATGGGAATGATTGGACAGCGAACTTAAACTTTGGACACGGTAGGTAGAGAGGCCGTCAAGTAATCGTTTGCGAAGTTCGCTGCACGGCCAAGTGCATGCGGATGACCCGCAGCAGTGCACCCACTGTTGCACGTGCCTTATCCCAAGCGAGTCGGTTAACGGCAGGTCTTTGAGAAACTTGCTTTACGTTGCGTACTGCTGTGGCAACAATGTATCCGATAGTCGATGACGATGGACGGAGACGCACCCATGGGTTCTGTCGACTTCCGCAATGGTCTACTATCCTAGTTGAGCGCACTGCATCGACGCTGTCTCGATTGTTCCCACGAAACCTTAATTGTCAAACGGACCCGACAAGTGCTAATGCGATATCACTTCTCTCGACAACACGCAGATCTGCTTCCACGCTCGCTCGCACGCGCACGCTCGCCCTGTTTTAACGCTGTTTGTCCTTCACCCTTGCTCAACAACGGCAAAAAGGCTTTCCCACGGTGGTACACGAACGTACCCGACAATGGCAAGCACATGTGGCCCCGTCGTGCTGATTGTCCTTCCTTCGCAGTACTGCGTCCATCTGCAAGTAGCCAGCAAGTCAGCTCAGTCCATTCAGCTTCACTTGTTTACCACTACCGTTTGCATACAAGTGGTTGTAACCCAATGCAGAGCTTCTGTGGCTGCAGGAGTGATCTTGGCTGGTGCTGAGTGCAGACTTCAAATCTGTAGGCCATTGGGTTGGCAGGAGTTCGATTCTCCCCCGCCTGCGCCTTTTCGTGTCAAGCTTCTCCCTACCTGCTCGCATACTGAAGACAAGACGCTCAGAGACATAGCAGCGACGACACGACCACTCGCTCATGTTTCGACCACCGAAACTCCGTCCGGCAGCCGTAATCAGTTGCGGCATCCAAGCGGCCACGACCTCAACGGCCTCTCATTGGCCAGTCACGTCGGCCGCGCACCGAGCGCTCGTTCAGTCAGCAGGACGCGCAAGACACGAACGTCCTGTCGCTTGCTCCGTCCCCATGCCCCGCCAGCTCACGCCCGAGCAGGTGTTGACGCCCGTACCGTCTGACATTGCCATCAGCGACGCCACAGTGCCCGTCCCCATCATGGAAATCGCGCAGGCAGCTGGAATCGTAGGCTCTCGTTCGACTATTCTGACTCTTGTGTGGTAGAGTGTATGGCTGCGGATAGTACGAAACTGACAGGAGGATTGCTGTTCTCGGGGCGTGATGTTGGGGCTGTTTGCTGCAGCTGTCAAGCGAAGTTATACCGTACGGATGGACCAAGGCCAAGGTCTCACTAGCTGTACGCGATCGCCTCAAGGACGAAGTGAATGGCAACTACGTTGTGGTTACGGGCATCACGCCAACCCCTTTGGGCGAAGGCAAGAGCACTACTACGATCGGGTGAGTGCGGACAGTCGGTGCTGGCTGCAAGCGGTAGAAAAGTGTCCGGGAGACATGACAAGATGTCCATTTCGTTTGTGCTGTGCTCACTAGACTGTGCCAAGCGCTGGGTGCTCACTTGGACAAAAAAGCGTTTGCTTGCATCCGTCAGCCGTCGCAAGGCCCGACGTTCGGTGTCAAAGGTGGTGCTGCTGGTGGAGGCTATGCGCAGGTGATTCCCATGGATGAATTCAATCTGTACGTGAATAATTTGTCGTGCTGTAACTACACTGTGTGGATGGAGCAATAGTACTGACAAGCGTTCTCGATGTATCTGCCTGTCTCGACATGCGTATAGTCACTTGACGGGAGATATTCACGCTATCACTGCAGCTAACAACCTGGTAAGATGCTTCGACGACGCCGTACTGAAGAAACCAACCTGTTTGTTTGGCTCATGCGTCATTGCTGCACGTTTATCTGATAGCTCGCTGCTGCTATCGACACGAGGATGTTTCACGAAAAGGCCCAATCGGACAAGGCGATGTTCCGTCGCTTGTGCCCTGCAGCCAAGGACGGAAGTCGCAAATTTTCACCTGTTATGCTGCAACGTCTGCAAAAACTAGGAATTACGAAGTTGGTGCCAGACGACCTCACGGATGAAGAGATCCACAATTTTGTGCGTTTGGATATCGATCCAGACACGATCACGTGGCAGCGCGTTTTGGACACATGCGATCGCTTCCTCCGTCAGGTGATTGTGGGGGCTGGGCCCGCTGAAAAAGGGCAGACCCGCACGACGGGCTTTGACATCACGGTCGCTAGCGAGATTATGGCGATTCTCGCTCTCACTACGAGTCTGCAAGATATGCGTGAACGCCTCGGACGCATTGTGATTGGCATGAGTCGCAGTGGCGAGCCTGTGACGGCTGACGACTTGGGCGTCGGTGGCGCTTTGGCAGTGCTTATGAAGGACGCTATTCTGCCCACTCTCATGCAAACGGTGGAAGCGACACCTGTGTTTGTCCATGCTGGGCCGTTTGCGAACATCGCTCATGGTAACTCGTCCATCATTGCTGATCAAATAGCGCTAAAATTAGCGGGCGAGGACGGCTTTGTAGTCACTGAGTGTGGATTTGGTGCTGACATTGGAATGGAAAAATTCTTCAATATCAAGTGCCGCACCAGTGGACTGACCCCGCAGTGCGTGGTGCTCGTTTCCACAATTCGTGCACTTAAAATGCACGGTGGCGGTCCTGATGTAGTTGCTGGTAGACCGGTTCGTGCCACACATATGGACAGTATTCTCTACAGTCGTCATCTAACACCAGTTCCTTGTTGCTTCGTATCTGGCTAGCTTGACCCTGTGTATGTCGAGGAGAACCTGGAAATGCTCGACCGTGGCTGTGCCAACATGCGGCATCACATTCACAACGCACTGAAGTTTGGCGTATCTGTCGTTGTGGCCGTGAACGTGTTCGCCACGGACTCACCTCGTGAGATAGAGCTTGTGAAGCAAAAGGCACTGGAGGCTGGTGCCACCGCAGCCGTCGAGAGTACCCACTGGTCCGACGGAGGCAGAGGAGCAAAGCATTTGGGCCGCGCTGTCGTTACAGCGTGCGAGAAGATGCGTGCACACGGCAGTCCATTCAAGTTCCTCTATCCGTTGGAGTTTTCGATCGAGGAGAAGTTCAAAGTCATCTGCAGTACGTCCAAACCATCTCAGCCTGTGTTGCTGTGGCTCACTGCAAAGGCCTACACCCTCGAGTGCATTGCGCCCATGTCTGACGTATGTCTTTTGTGCATGCAGAGGAGATTTACGGTGCCGATGATGTCGAGTTCAGCGAGGAAGCGAAGAAGAAACTGGCGGTCTACTCGAAACGAGGTTACGGCAAGCTGCCCGTGTGCTGTGCGAAGACGCACCTGAGCTTAAGCACGGATCCCACCAAGAAGGGCGTGCCCACAGGCTTCTCGGTCACAGCGCGCGACATCCGCGCCTCGGTAGGCGCTGGCTTCGTCTACCTGCTGTGCGGAGACATGACGACAGTGCCTGGTTTACCTACGCGTCCAGGTTTCTACGATGTCGATCTGGACACCGAGACGGGCAAGGTTATTGGCCTGTTCTGAAAAAGACAAGAGCGGTCGAAGCGATGGTGCGCACGAGCGAAGCGTATTGTGATGATCAAGCCTGTTGTTGTTGTTGTTACAATCGACGCGGCTCGCGCTAGCTCGTCAACGGCGACGAGTCATAAATGTAGTCACGCATCTTCTCGTTCGGAAGCGTTAACACCAGAACTCACTGGTCCTAGCTCGTCTCATCTGCAGCCACGGTCGTTGTTGTTGCAATCGCTTCTTTCGGGTCGCCTTTCAAACGGTTGTTCAGGAACGTCTGCCAGTGGTAAAACTGCTGTCCGTGCACGAGCGTCATAAAATCCTCGCGCGCAATCATCTTCCGAAATCGCTCGTCCTTCAGCATGTCGAGGAACGCGAGACAGTGCGGGTAGACAATGTACTTGGCGTACTGCGGCTCTTTCCAGTACCTGAGGTACTGCAGATAGTTCATAAACGCGTCGTTCTCAAAGTACCGATTGATCGCCAGGACTACAGACGGAGCAAAAGCAGAGGAAAAGGTGGGAACCGACTCGTCACGACTGCGCGACACTGCATAGTGGTCACTTCTGTACCTACACACGAGCAAATGCACACGTACAGTTAAGGTAAGCTGGACTGGCCAAGCACTGGATGAACTCGAGCTCCATCTGGAAGCGAATGTCGTTCGACGGCACGTCGACAGCGCTCATGATGCTGAAGATGGACGGATCGATCGCACTTAGGCGACGGCAGTCGTGTTTTGGTACAGTGTACCCGACGGGCAAGGACTAACAGAACCCCCTGCTGGTACAGTGTGCCACCCGGCGGCGTCGACGCGACAGACAGTGAGCCCTCGAGATGAGTCGCGCACCGACGCCGCTGGACGACCACGAGTATCCTGTGGCGCTGGGCGAGTCGCTCGTCGAGCCGATCGATGATGGGCCGTCGCGTCAGCAGTCGAGCGACGAAGTCTTTGCCTCGTTTGGCTACGAGTTTCAGCCCGCGTCAGTGGACAAGAGAACGCCTGGACTCGTGTGTGTCGACGCCTCCAGTAGCGTGCAAGTGCTCATGGGCTCCAGCACTGGAGCTGCTGGAGGCGTGAGCTTTCGCGGAAAGGTCCTCGAGCACAAGGAGACGGACTGTTTGCTTTTGTTCGACGGCTCGCGGTTCCGGCTCGAGCGCTGCCGGTTTTCCTGCATGCAGCTGCGCCACGTGCGCGTGTCTGCGTCACGGCGGCGCGGGACGTGTCAGCGTGACGAAGAAAAGAGCAACGGCAAGACGTCGACAACGACGATAACGGCTACTGGTACTGGTGCTAGTGCCGGTGCTGAGACGGCGCCAATGTCGAAGCACGAGGGTACGTGTGTGGCGTCGACGACGGCCATGCCAGCAGCTACTGCGAAGAGACCGGTGCGGAGATCTCAGCGACGGGTATCGGCTGGCCAAGCAAACGCGTCTGACGCTGTGAAGCAGCCACGGAGTCGACCTAAACGCTCGTTGAAAGTGGCTACTGCTGCAGCTCCGGGTAAAAAGACTCGGAAGCGAGACGTGGGTCGTGGAAAATAACACTCGGAAGAGTGACGAGGAAAGTAGTGAGTGGGCCGACTGATGGACGAAAGCCCCCCCGTCGCTTTGAGCGAAAAACAGCTGCTGTCGTCGGTCGTGCGTGCGTGTTGATGATTAGTTGTGTCAGCCACACGAAAAACAATCCGACACGCAACCCGAACCTCCCGGTGGAAAGTCACGCGGATCTGAGAATCGCGACACGCCGTATGGGTCCACTACAGATCGCACTCCTCATATCATTCGTACAGTACGTAGTACGAGAGAAAGCTCAGAGACTGCTGGGAACAGTCTCCGAAGTGAAGAAAACAGAGCGCCGAACAGCGCATCGGAGAAGGAACACCGAGAAAAGCAGAGAGCAAACACAACCGCACGACCCACAGCACAAACGCGTCGCAATAGGTCGTGACAATGAGTAAGAGCAAAGGGAACAAACGCCGCGAGATGGACGTCATGAAGCTGTACGCGCCGACTCGGTGGCTGCATTGCTAGTGGTCCGTGCGACGACGGGTCTCACGGTTGTCAGTCTCTCTGTGCTCTCGTGTCTCTTCCAGTATGATGAGCGACTACGAAGTGCATTTGACGGACGAGACGACGACGACGGACTTTGACGTGAAGCTCCTTGGCCCGAAAGACAGTGCGTGCAGATTGTAGGACTCTATTGGTTGCTGTTTTTCTGTCAATGAAAAAAGAGGGAGGGAGATATGTATGTATAGATAGATAGATAGATAGATAGATAGATAGATAGATTGATAGATAGATAGATATATTAGATAGGGTGAGAGAGAGGTGAAGAGGAGTCTTTAACGACATGTTGTGGCTTTTGTATGTGTGGCAAAGGTCTGTACGAAGGCGGGTCGTGGAAGGTCCACGTGACGCTGCCTGAGGACTATCCGTTCAAATCGCCATCGATTGGCTTTGTGAACCGCATTTACCACCCCAATGTGGACAAAAAGCATGTTCTTGCGTATCTCAACTCTTTAGATTGAGCGGTAATCGCGGCTGACCCTTGCGTTCTTCGCTTTGTTTACGATTGATGCTGTTAGGTCGGGGTCCGTGTGCCTGGACGTGATCAATCAAACGTGGAGTCCAATGTTTGGTGGGAAGCTCAGATGTCATATTGCTAAGGTGCTCGGTTAAGGCGAATACTGACACCAGAGAGTATTGTTTGTCTTGACTAGAGCTGGTCAACGTGTTTGACACGTTCCTTCCTCAACTGCTGCGCTACCCGAACCCAAGTGATCCGCTGAATGACGGAGCAGCGTCGCTGCTGATGAAAGACGCGGAGATGTACCGTACGAAAGTGAAAGGTGCGTCAGAGCAACAACTGCTTCTGGCCGCTGCTGGAAGCGTGCTGAACAATAATTTGCGGTCTCGACTTGTTCTTTTTGCTGCTGTTTTTCAGAGTACGTGCGCACGTACGCCTCGCAGCCGATCGACATGGGTGACGAGGAAGGCGATAGCGATGTGAGTGATATGAGCGACATTGAGTAATGGAATCGCTCGCGTCCAGGAAATTTGACGCCTCGGTCTCTTATGCGCTCGTTCGTGACCATCGGCCAGCTTCGATTCGTCGTCGCACTGCATGTCAACGATGTTTCATTTCGATACTTTTCCAATGTGTTGTGAACGAAAAAACAAAAGCTCTCTTTCTTTGCTTAGCAGGCCCTTCAATTCCTAAAAGATAGTCGATCTACTTCGTGAGGAAGTTGGAGGCGTCAGCTTTTCGTTGGATGTAGTGAGCATTTCTGCGAAGCCGGTCGCTCATGCTACTTTCGCTGTCCAAGTATGCGTCCGAACGCACTTTCCTACAAACAAAACCGTGGTTAGACAACGCGAGACCCGCTGCGTGTAGAGAAAAACACCCCACCTGAGAAACTCCGGATTACTGCTCGTAGCGTTTTGCTCCAGCTTGTCCAGCTCGTCTTTCTTCAGAGTCGCGCGCTTTTTAATGTACTCGTCACGCTGCTTTGCATCGTCCACCATTTGCTGAACCCTTTGCCTCTTCTCCTCTTCGGTCAGCTTGCGCGCTTCCTTGCCCGACGGCTCACCTAGCTTACGCTGGCGCTCTTCTTCTTCGAGCCGTTTGGCCTCACGAGCCTTCGCCAAGTGCTGAACACTGGGTCCCAAAGATGTTTTGTCGACGTTCTTTGACTTCACTGCATCCGTTTTGTTAATGAGACCGTATTTTCCTTCCCTATCAACAGGTTTACGTCTCGATTCCGCATCCGTGCGAGAGTGGCCGTGTCGATGCACCCCAACAGAATCATTCTCGTGTGCTTGTGACGCATCTTGTCGGCTGCTTCGATCCCGACGTGTATCTTCACGACCAGACCCCTCATCATCGTAACGCCCACTGGATCTACGCGAGCGTCGTCTGTCTCGATGACCGCTCATGCTACGGGAGCGGCGACCTTCTCGTCGATCAATTGGACTGCGAGATCGACGCATGCGTTGCCGAACCACTGGACTTCGTGAGCAGCTTGTTCCAGAAGCATTCTCGTAGCGCTGCCCCGTGCGGCATCTACGGTCTTGTCTGAGCCGCGTTCTACTGAAGCGATCCACAGAGTGGTCCATTCGTCGGGATGATCGTCGATTGCGACCAAAATCGTCCTGATCTTGCTGAGGACTGCGACTTCGATAATGTTTCTTAACACCCTGCGTCGAGTTACATCGGTCTCTCGATGAACTCTTATCTTCTCGATGCGCGTCAGCGTATCTACGCGAACTTGTACGATCCAATCGATGGTGGTAAATACTGCGCTCGCGCCGCTCTGGCTTTCGTTTCTCGTGAGGTGAGCGACCATGGCACTGACCGCCACTAACGCGCGTAGACATTGGCGACCTGCATCGACTCTTCGACCTTTGACGCAATCGTTCCTTCTCACTAGCACGATCATTTCCTCGATGAACGGTCGAATGGTTTCGCTCAAAACAGCTATCCATCTTCTTGTCAACTCCATCTTCGCTGTCTTCGCTGTCACCACGAAGCTTCCTCTTCTTCCGTAGCCGACGCTTTTCATCCTTTCGCGCCCGCTTCTTTTCTTTCTTCCTATCTTTCTTGGCTTTCTTCATCTGTTTCAAACGATCCACCTCCTCCTGAATACGCTTCATCTTGACTGGATTCTTCAAAACCTCTTCACGAGCAGCCTGCTGACGCTTACGAATGAGCATCATCGGGTCCTCATGCAGCCGCTGAAAAGCGTCATTCGCTGGTAACGCGCTCTTCGTCAGCGCCAAAGAGCCGTACTTTGTCGTCGCACTTAGGTCCACCTCCTCTACAGCAGTCTTCTCGTCCTCACCCTTGTACTCTTTGCCGAGCAAAAACTCCTCGGCCGTCTTCTCCCGAGCTGCTGACGGTCCTTCGTACATCCAGTCGACACGCTCAATTGCCGCGGACTTGTTGCCCTGGTCCGCCTGAAGCTGTCGCAGCTCCTGCAGCTGCCGCTCCTGCTCGATGTTCTTCCGCAGCTCTGCGACTTTCTTCTCTTCGGCTGCATGCTTTTGCTCAGCAATCCAGACCTTTTCGACATTCTGCACGCCAAAGATAACAACAATCAAACATCACAGCAGGCAGAGTATACCAAGTTAAAGGTCACAAACGGCTCGAGCGCGAGCACAAACAGATCGAGCAAACAGCCGGCGTAACGACAACGATGAGCGAAGAATAGCGTGCCGCCTTGCAGCAACAGGAAAAGGCTCGACGTACGCGTAGGTTCGCTGTGTGCCAGCTCTTCTTGGACAGAAAGGCCAGCGACATGGCGAGTACAGAGAGGAACTGAGAGGCCACGACGCGGGTGGGACGCGGTAAAAGCTTTGTTTGGGCGAAAAAGACGTGGTCCACATCATATTGTGGCAGCCACACCAGATATTCCGGCGCACAAACACGAGTGAACGAACAAACGCGATTGGGTCAGTGTAACGTCACGCAATTGGTACCGTGACAGCTCGTTTACTGCCACCAGACCCGCTCATTTTCGGACCGCTTTTCATTGCGCTCAATATTCACAAGTGAGGCACGTTGTAGCATCCTTTCGTCGGTTTGCAATCAAAGACCGAGCAGCAATAGTCGAATTCGTTGTCGTCGCTGCAGGTCATGGCTGTGCGTAGGAGCTGCCAAATTGTCGAATCGATTTCGGATCACCGATACGTTGCGTCAGCGAGGTGGTATGAAGACATCAACGACATTCTCTCTTTCACAAGCACGGCAATATAAATCTCCGATTCTGCTGCCTTTCGGTCATGCCTGCTATGATGTAAATGCACTCGAGGCTTCATTGCATCGATGTTGTCATCCATCGCTTCGTCTTCCAGATCGCTTTTTTCGTCTGAAATGCGAGTATAATTTGTCATGTCAGTTATACAGATCGCCCTTTTCGCAATCTTTGCAGGCCTGTTCATCAACTCAATCTGCTGCATCAGCCCTCGCGCTATCGATCATACGTCGTTCAAGCGTATTGCACCCTTCCTGGCGTCATGTTATTTTGTAAGCGATTGCACTTGGCTGTATCCATCTACTGCTGCGAATCCGCATTCAACGTTGTTTGCACTTAGCTGCAGACCCGTTTCCTACCACTCTCGGATCGCTTGCAGTGCCCGTGGCAACTCTTTGTTTGGATCTCTATCCTGAAACTCAGAGACCTACATCTTCGTTTCGATTTCGCGTGCGACAAAGCTCAATGCACTACATCCTCGTTTCGATTTCGCGTCCGACAAAGCTCAATGCGCTTCACCGGTTCATGTGTCAACCACAATGCGTCCGCACGGATGCTGATCCATGCAGCGTCGAGCTGTCGTCGACAACGAGCGAGCAGAATCGACCACTTCGATACTGGCTATGATGCTGATGACGAGACACGCACATCGAGTGGTTTTCATCTTGAAATATCGGGAGCCCAAGTCGATCTTGAAGCCACGTTGAATCGATCTATGCTCAACTATCGATTCGAACTACGTCCATTTTTTTCTTCACTAACCTGTAATTCATCACAGAGAGTTCGCCAAGTCCGATTCCTGTAGCCATTTCAGGCATGCGCGACAAAGGCTCGGGATGGCAGCACTTTCGAGCAGTTCGGAGGACAAGAGCGCGAAGAACTTAGTGTCTGCTCTTTGGTATCCGTTCCAGCGCGCCGGCGCATGCGCGTGCCTCGGCTTGCTACTCTGAGCTAGAGCCGCCAATCGATACATGTTACGTTTGTGACTCTGCTTTCCCATCGCGATGAACAGTCGACGCCCCGTTTTATACTTCAGTAGCTCTTACGTGACACTGGCATCGTGCTTCTTCATGGCTTTGAAATCGCTACGTGCGCGCTATGGCTCACAGCATATAAACTAGTCATGCCTATGTAAACGATCGCTCGACAAATGCGCTGTGTTGCGACCACAATTGCTATTCGCTGATGTGTGTTCACTGCCGAATAGAGCACACAATCGTGAAGTGTTGCGCTTCGTGGACGTTACCGAAACGTGTTTGCCATCCGCTTTTGTGTCGATCACGCTCCTCGCTTGCTACATTGTTTTCGCTGTTTAAATAACACCGCTCGACAAAGAGGACGTCCAAGCCACTCCGCCGTGGGTTTCAAGGATCTCTAGTTTTCCGGCGTTTTGCTGAACAACATGACGCAGATACGTTTTGAATCCGCACGGTCAATAACTGCCACCTCAAAGGGCCACAGCAAACGAGTGAGTGACCTGGTGTGGCGTCGACGTTGAAGTTGCACGATAAAGTCGATGAACCATCCGACACGAACACTCGCAAATCTTATCACAATCGCATCCATACTCCTGTAACTAACTGCCTGCTCTCGTCAGCCACCCATTCAACGACAACAACTGCGCGTCGAAGCTGCAGGAGCTTTTTCTCATCCGCATGGCCTCATCTGCCGTTGTATCGAAGCTAATTGAATGGCTCGAGTCCAATGGAACTACTGACAGTTTGTTGGCAATTCGATACCTCGGCGAGTACGAAGGCCATGGCGTGTTGGCAAAGCAGACGCTGCCCTGCGGTCAAGTGACATTGCAGGTCCCTTTCAAGCTCACCATGACGGTCGAGTCTGCCGCTCGATCTGACCTTGCAGCCGTGCTCGAGAAATATCCGCAGATCTCGTCCGACGAAGTGCTCGCACTGCATGTAATGCACGAGCGCAACAAAGGCACACGATCGTTCTTTGCCCCGTTCCTCGCGTCGCTACCGACTACGTTCGACTTGCCTGTTTTCTGGTCAGATACAGAGCTGAATGAGCTCAGAGGCACAAATGTGTTGCTGCTGACGCGGCTGATGCAACAACAACTGGAAAGGGACTTTCAAACCATTCACCAAGAAGTGACCAAAGCGTTTCCCGATATTTTTGCGTCGCTGCCAACACTGACGTTGGAGGATTATACGTGGGCCATGAGTGTGATCTGGAGTCGCGCGTTTGGTGTCAACAGGGGTGGAAAGTACTTGCGTCTACTCTGTCCAGCGATGGACATGTTCAATCACGACGTGAGCCTGTGCAACCCGCTGGATGACTTTGTTTCGTTCGATGACGAGAAGCAGATGATGGTCCACCATGTACCGACCGAAGTCACGAACGGCAATGCCGTGCACATTAGCTATGGACAATACTCGAATGCGAAGCTGCTGTATTCATACGGCTTTGTCGCGCAAGGCAATCCTCGACGAGCAGTGGACTTTTGGGTAAAGGTCCCGCCAGCAGATCCGTATCGGAAGCTGAAACAAACCATTTTGGATGCTAACGATCTCACAAGGGAACAGACGTACGACTTTTGTGGGACCCTCTTCCGAAATGACGTAGACGAGAGGCTACTAGCTACCTTGCGCGTGATCTTGATGAACGAGCAAGACATGCATCTGTACAAAAAGGTACGTTGCCTTCTGATTGATGCGTGTGAGTATCTTGTCGGCTTTGCACGGACGGAATTGTCGTAATGACACATCGTTTTCTGCTGCAGGCTTTCATGTTATCAATGATCAGCGTTCACAACGAATTGGCCGTCTACAACAATCTACAAAATGCCTGTCGCCGCAAACTCGAGACGTTTCCAACAACGTACGTGCAGCGCTTTTGTGGCAAATGTTGTTTACGTTAGTAATTGCATTCTGTCTTGCGTGGCTGAAACAGGCTCGAAGAGGATGAGGCGATTCTGACCAATGCAACGGAGAAGTCGAGCATCCGTTTATTGCTTGCAGTTCGTGTGCGCATCGAAGACAAACAAGTGTTTGCAGGAGTTATCGACACAATCGAACGATGGAAACATGCTCTGGCCACTTGTCCGGAGACGTATCCACCCAGCACCACAAGGATGTCGACTCGTTGAGGCAGACAACATGTACTCCATTGCGAATAGCTTTTTTATCAACCTCTAGTGATTGTTTACAGTGTCCCACACGGATCTCGACGTGGCGCAACGATCTTGCAACACTCTCTCAACCTTAGTTGGCCAGCCTGCGGCCAAGCAACTGGCGCAACACGCTCGGCGTGAAGTACGGCAAACGCTCCATCACCTCTTCGTCCGACAGGTATTTTGCGCCGCAAATGTAGCCACTGCATGTCGGTGATCCACAGCGGCAGTCAAACTTTTCATCCATGTCCCACTCGGTCGTAGAGTAGTCAAAAGTCAGGTGTTCGCCCTCTTTGATCGGCTTAATGGCCACAAACGACACTTTTGCCTCGCCTTCGACCACGTGGATACGCGTATTGGGATCACAACCGTGGTTCACAAACTCCAGTCCGCCCGTAAAATCTATGTGCTCGCTCGGGGTAATCTGCACCGTGAATCGAGTGGGCTTGGAGAACTGCACAGAAGGTATGAGTTATGGTGCAGCGCACACAGAGAGCCTGAAAGTTACGATCACCTGCTCTGCAAAAGCTTCGTACCAGAGTGCCAGATGCCGAGCCAATGACATCCCCCTTCGTGAAATTCTGGCCTGCCACGGCTGATCGCCAGTGCTCGTTCCTACACGAGAGAGCAAGCGACACACGTGCTCACACCATATATAGTCAGCCAAGTCACACGGATCGTTGTTACGGAAGCAGCAAACTCACAGTTGCTCCACGTAAAAACGTCCGTCGGAGCCTGATGAGGCGTCGATCAGGTCGCCGCTTTGCTCTGCGTCATGGCCATGAGCTCCGTTCGCATGCTGCACGTGAGCCAGAGACGTGAGAGCCGCAAAGCGGCGACGGGTGGTGGACACCACAGAGCGCGAGGTACAGCTGATGTTCCGGAATAGCATAACGAAAGATCGCAGCTGGACACGTTGGTGGGTGAGGTTTGGCTCGAGCTGAAAACCGAGTGGGCGAAGATATGACCGCATACGCGCATAACTCGTGGCAGGTAGGGCTGCTGAACTCGCACATGCTGATTTATGTATGCTTGCGTGTACCACGTTAGACAAGGCCGAGGGTTCGGTGGGTTATTATGTCTTCCCTTTCGCCCGTCATGCACTTGACCTGACACACGTCTAAGTGCGACGTAGATACAAGATAGCACGTTTTCACTCGGTGTTTACTCTATCTCTTCTTTACTTAATATGTTAAGTGATCGCTCCTCTAGCGATTGGTGAGACGAAGGATCGATATGGACATAGCGCTTGTAAGCGTGATTCTCCAGATGTTGCCACTTGACCTGGCGCACATGGATACAACTGATTGCGACAAGAGACGTTTTCAATTTTGCACCAAGTGCAATGCAGGGATATGAAACGATACTGAATCCTCGCTTACGATATACAGGACATTCTGGGCTCAACTCTGTCGTTCCGACCGCTCGCTGTCGTCGGCTAAGTTTGAAAACAATGATATTGAGAATCAGATGCATTGGCCGCATCAGCGTTAAATGTGACAAAATGCTCGCAATCTCAGACTGAACGAGCTAAAAGAATGACTGCAAGATGATCGTCTTCACTTGACGCATGGTCGTCAGCTTGACATGATAAGCAGTGAGTGCGAGTAGCACAACAAGAAGAACGCGAGACATTCCAAAGCATCCGCAGCTGCATTAGCGATATCATTCGATCCACCAGTACTCATGACCCGTCTGACATCTATGGACCACCCGACTTGCACACAGAAACAAAGATGTCTTGAAGCCGCGCTACCTGCAGCTTGCCGACGGTGCGCTTGCTAAAAGAAGCGCTCAATCGATGCAAGCCGTGACTGTTGGTGCACTTCATGATGCTCTGACTATCAAATTGCATAGGCCGGTGGTGTTTCAGGAGAATTTGATCGCATATTTGCTCATCCGTTGTAGCGAGCGTATGCCTTTTCGTACCCGTGCGCCATTCTTTTTGTACCTTGAGATGAACAATTGCGAATCTAAACACGAAGAATGAAGCGCATGCAGCCGCGAGCGTCGCCACGAAAGTCTTGATTGGTCAAGGAAGCCCGTAGGTACGAAACACGAGGCATCATAATGGAGCACAATGCGAGTTTGGCATCTCCGTGTCGAGTTGGAGAGAAGGAGGATCAACGAGATAGCAATCGCGCTTACAATAAACGCAGCGAAATCACAATTTCGTCAGGTGTGTCGTGTGAAGTTACGATGATTTCGAGAGGCACATGACATTTCTCGATACCTGAGTCGCCTATTCTCTACGGTGCTACTATGCATGCGAACACAAAGGCGTAAAGCGCGACAATCCAGTGGTAAAACATGCGATGAGTTTGTGCTCAGACGTCGAACGGTGCTATACTGCTCTCCGTAACAAATAAGATGGAAGTTACCTGGAAAAGGGCGGGGCCACCAACGTGGTGACGAGCGAGTGTTTCCGCATCTCTCGCTTGCTATGGATGAGCAATAGCGTTTTGCGGACATGCTCATCCGATACTCACATGCTGTAACGACTTATCCTTTAGTTATGATGTTTTGTTATGTCTGCAATTAATTGGTGCTCGTAGCGATGTTTGGCTCGATAATTATTTTGTTGCTTATTCCCATTCCAAATGTACCAGAAACTCGAAGAGCAGTTTTTACCTTTGATTTTAGTTTGTTCGCGATTTTTCTTTAGGCTTTTTATCATCAGATTAGGCTAGTGAATGTCTAGTCGTCGAGCGATGTTATCTACCGACGAATACACGCGCCAACCTCTAAACGGTGTCATACAAGCGAGAAGCAGTCCACGTCCGCAGCGCGATCGAACGCACGAGTTTATCGTGACTCGTTCGTGCACGACCACCACGGAAGCGATATTGATGTGCCAACAATCAGGATGACGTGAATGGATAACCTAACCTTTCCGTCAGCGATTTTCTCACTGCATCAATGGGCCACCTTTACGTTGACAACAGTGCTGGACATTATTACAATCGATGTCAGCTGAATCCATCGTCAGGGGTAGATCGGTAAACGCATGAGGCGCTAGAGTGCGCATGCTTTTTGTAGTTCGCTGTCCACTATTTCGATTTGCAAAGGACACACGAGAGCGCAAATCTCATTCCTTGACGACCAAAGCATTGCTGCTTCTTCAAACAAGCGGAATGAATAGTACAATAATCGATTTACGCGCTCGGAGTACAATGCAAAAGCGCGGAGACGAGATAGACACAAGCTGACGTTGTCCTATTTTCGCAAAACATAAAAAAACATCGATGAAAGCAATACACACTTGAGAGTGCAAGTGCTACTGACTGACTGACGCGACACACACGAAACTGGCCCAAGCCTTTAGTGCGCACTAGGCGGTGCTACAATCGTCAAAACCTGCCTAAGAGATTGCGGTCTGTTTCTGACCCTTTATAATAGCCATTTGGGGGAAGAGTGCAAGAATTATCACCACGATTTGAAAGCTTGCCCTGTCCAATGAAAAGGTCCCGTCGTCGGACTGGTGTGCGAGCTGATCCACTCGTTTACTTCGCAATTTGCTCTTTCGCGCCTAGACGACCGAACGCGACGATGCGCATCTTCCACTTCGTACTTGTGGCTTGTACTGCGACTTTGGCAGGCAGTACGAACGCTTCGGAGCCATCCAGCCGTACAATGACGAACGCTGAAAACGAGGCCGCCATTCGTTCCGCTCACGATGGCGTCGCTGTCAAGAAAACGCTAGAGGTACAGGACCACAGGACTGGCGAAGAACGGATGGAGCCTATGATGTATACCTTGGAGGAGATGGAAGCGGCATCACACGAGCTGATCAACGGATGGCAAAGAAGTGCTCCAGTTGAGGTGGGGACCTTACAAGAGAAACGGCCGGAGACGCACTTTCAAAGTTTGATGAAGCGCCTTTCCACGTTCCGGCGTGAGGTCCATCGAGAAAGCCCCACTGGGCAACGTGTAGCTACTTTGGCGCCGAAGGGAAGAGCATTCAAGCGAGGCGATCCGGATAGAGCGACCCGAGCGTCAGGTCGTGCACGTCCGAAAGCAACGGCGTCGACGAAAGCTAAAATGTCTCCAGTTGAAGTGCATCCTCTCGAGTTCTTCAAGAAGATGATTCCCGGATATGAGGACGGTGAAATTCCTACTGCAGCCATGGTTTACGAGAAGCTGGGGATGTACATCAAGAAATACAACGCGGCAAGATCAGATACACGACCCGTCAGGATGTTTCAGACATTGTACCACGGCTTCGGTGATTTGGCCGAACTCGCATCTTTTATGTCGATTTTGAAGCTCAATGGCATCAATGCCCAAGATTTACAGCTCCTGGAACAGTTGCTATATACATACTTGATGCTATGCAAGACGCAGTTCGATGAAATTGCTCTGAAGCTGGCAATCCCAACACAGGGACAGTCTATCTTAGGACACCACAACCTGGACTTCTTCGTTAGATACATCTCGACGGTCATGGATGTACTTCCTTCGGAGCATCAAGAAATCTCCACGCTTCTAACGATGATGTTTGGGAAGGAGCAAGCTGCATCCGTAAAGGAGAAAGCAGAAGAGCTGAGCTCG